TAAACTTTAATATTTAATACCAAAATAGTACTTATCTCAATGTGTTACTTGATATTCATTATTTTGCCACAAAATCAATTTCTTTTTCAAAACTTAATAAAATAAAATCAAATAATTATATTTTACTATCATGATATATTTTTCTAATTATATTTATAAAGTTTAATAAATAAATTAGAACTTATAATCAAAGTTTTAAGGTCTAAGTCTTCAAATTTTAAGGACTAAATTGGTACTAAATAAAAGTTCAAGGATTATTTTGGTTTCAAAAATTAAAGCTTAAGGACATGTTTAGTACTTTTAAAGTTTTAGAATAATTTTGACCTAAATCAGAAAGTTGAGGGACTAACATGGTTATTTAACCACAAAATTTAGGTCCTTCAACTTTAAAGTTTACATACTTTTCGTCCCTCAACTTTGTTAATATTTTTTTTAATCTTCAACTATGAAAAATATAATGTTTTATAGTTAATTAAGAGATAAGAAATGCAGAAAATGGTAAGACATGAAAATTTGTTTATATAAAACCTTCAAAATTCATAAAAATCATATATATTCACCCTAAAATATACTGAAAACAACAAATCTAAAAATGCTAGCTAATATCAAACACTTAATATAAAAATTTTGTCATTAATAGTTGAACTTTCACTAAAACTTTATAAAAACATTATTCATAACTATTCATCAAATTTATTTAAAAGAAAATCTAATAATATTAACTAATATCTAATGAATTAATTAATAACAATATTTGATGGTTTAAATTTCAAAAAAAAAAAACATACATGAAATATATAAAAAAATAATAATATTACTTAAATTTCACTTACCACTGCTTGAACCACTACTTGAACCACTACTTGATCCACTACACTGTAAGAAGAAGAATGTTAAAGTGATTCAAAGGAAAGAATGGAGGAAAAGAGAGCAAGAACAACTCGTGGACAGAAGAGGAAAATGAAAATGAAAGGAGAAAGACCAAAATGAAAAGAGAAGGGCGGTTCACAGGCAATAGGGACTCTTACCGACGAGATCCACATTGCTACAATCTAAAGCTGATCATCTCTGCGTTGCATCAGAATTCTCGTTGATAGAGGCAATCACTGACAAAGATCTAGTTGGCAAATTAGAGCTTACCGACCCAAACCTTGTCAGTAAGCTAAATAAAAGCTGCAACACTAGGTGCCAACAGTTGGATTTGCGGGGAGTTGGGAAATGGAAAATTATCGACAAGGATAATGTCAGAATATTGCATTAAAAAGCTGCACTTCTTGACACAAGCAACCCGTTGGTTGACAGGGTTGGATTGGGAGTGGGAATTACCGAGAAAATGTACGTTGGCAAATTAGGTTGGTATTACCAACGAGACTCACGTTTCCAAAATAAATTTATAGGCCTCATTCTCTCGGTGATTTGGGTTTCCGCCAGCCTCTTGCCTATTGAAGCGTTGGCTGCAATTACCGACAAGGAACACGTATATATTATGTTAATTTACCGACAAATATTTTGTCTGAACAATAAATAATATATATTACAGCTATTTCTACTGTTTCTCTATTTATAGACTTATTTCTTGTCGGTAAAATGATGCTTCACTGAGAAAAGTTCTTACGTCGGTGATATGTTGTCGGTGAAATTGAGTTTTCTCGTAGTGACAACTCAATATTATAATCGTAATAATGTCTTTTAAAAATACAAAAGTTAAGCTCGATTTTACTTCTATTAATTGTGTCACGTATCCCTTATCAAAAAAAAAAAAAAAAATTTGTGACATAGGCAACCTGCTGGTTGATGGGGTTGGATTGGGAGTGGGAATTACCGAAAAGATGTATGTTGGCAAATTAGGTTGGTATTATCGACGAGACTCACGCTTCCAAAATAAATTTACAGGCCTCCTTCTTGTCGATGATTTGGGTTTTCGTTAGCCTCTTGTCGGCCGAAGCGTTGGTTGTAATTACTGACAAGGAACACGTATATATTATGTTAATTTACCGATAAATATTTCGTCTGAACAATAAATAATATATGTTACTGCTATTTCTACTGTTTTTCTATTTACAGACTTATTTCTTGTTAGTAAAATGATGCTTCATTGAGAAAAGTTCTTACATCGGTGATATGTTGTCAGTGAAATTGTGTTTTCTTGTAGTGACAACTCTATTATAACCGTAATAATGTCTTTTAAAAATACAAAAGTTAAGCTCGATTTTACTTCTATTAATTGTGTCATGTATCCCTTATCCAAAAAAAAAAAAAAAAAATTGTGACATAGGCAGCCCGTTGGTTGACGGGGTTGGATTGGGAGTGGGAATTACCGAAAAGATGTATGTTGGCAAATTAGGTTGGTATTACCGACAAGACTCATGCTTCCAAAATAAATTTACAGGCTTCCTTCTCGTCGATGATTTGGGTTTTTGTTAGCCTCTTATCGGCTGAAGCGTTGGTTGTAATTACTGACAAGGAACACGTATATATTATGTTAATTTACCGATAAATATTTCGTCTGAACAATAAATAATATATATTACT